ACTTGAAAAATTCAGCTAGAAGCAATATAAAGACTTGAATTCGACTTGATAGAAAAAAAAAATATAATTACCTTTCACAAACAGCAATCGGCCCAATGCCATTGAATGAATGAAATAAAATGAAGAGACCATATCGCGGTCCTCTCTCTTTCTTTATGTGTGTTTTATTCAAAATTCTGAAAACAAAAAAAAATAAAATCACAACCATCTGTAACAATAATCATGGAACGATCGAATTAAATGGAAATTTTTCAAACAAATTCTTATATCAATCGATATTTTTTCCAATAAATTTTCCATCAATACTAAATTCATTGGTATTCCGGTAGAATTTCATTAAAAAATTCTTGATTAAACATACACATCGTAAACAGATGGTCATCATTATTGTCGTTATTATCATCATCATCATCCATATGTAGATTGACATGAGATGGAATGATGAATATAGCAGCAATAAATGAATGAATCTAAAGAATGTTTTGCCCAAAATATTATATGCCGACAATTGTTGTTGTTGTTGTTGTTTTTTTTATATTACAGGAATCATCGAATGATGATATCATATCCATCAACCATCATCATCATCATCATCATTGATGAACTAGTTTAATCATTCATTCCAATGATTATGATGATGATAAAATTCTTTACAATTCTTTGCAACATCTGTCATTTATTATCATAGATTTGAATTGATTGATCGACTAATCATTGATCATCATAACAAAATCATCATCATCATCATGGACACTCTAAAAACCCTATTCACATCATATTACAGACAAACCTAAGTAGGCGTGTCTGCATGTTACCTCCATACCTTTTGTATGTTTCTCTCTCTGTGTGTGTGTGTGTGTATGGTACAGGTTTTCATTTACACATCACACTGAATGAATTTAATAACAAAACAACAACAACAAAAAAAAATTGCATTAATTCTGGATGATGCTAATCCACTATGGTCGATGCCAAGCATCCATTCATACGGTTCAGGATTTTTTCTCTGTTTTCGTTTTTTTTTATTTTCGTAGTTGTTTATTTGTTTGTTTGTTGTGAGAAGAGAGATTCGTTGTTTCTTATGTCGTCTGTTGCATACGCACAAAATCTTTTCTCTAAGATTTTTTTTTTTTTTTTTTTTCCATTCAGATCATAGTCATTGTGGTAAATAGTGTGTGTGTGTGTGTGTGTGTGTACGACGTGCGCGTTGAAAATGATTTGATTTTGATTTTTTCTGCTTCGGATTATTTTTACAAAATTTTTCTCAGATTTCATAAATCTCTCTTGAATTTATTTTGTTTTGTTTCCTTGACATTACGAATGTTTTTTTCAATCGAATAATAATGCCTCAATGTTTATCACCAATCGATTTGGATACCAAATCACCAGCTATATTGGAATTTTTACATCATCATCATCATCATCATCATCATAATCATCGTGTAACGGATGATTCATCAAATGAAATATCATCATTACAGAATCATCATTATCCATATCATCAAATGTTTACCACTATTGATTCACCATCATTAGATCCATCAATGAATGAATTTGATTATTTTTATGGTCAAACATCTAACATACAGACATCATCGACATCGTCATCGACAGCAACAATTACACCTACAATTGGTTCATGTTTTTATCCATATTCCAAGAAATCTTTAAATAAAACAGGAAATAGAATGATAAATCGTTCAGATTTGTCATGTCATCATAATCATCATAATCGTCAAACACCAATTGATGATTATGTTTATTTGGAATTTTTTGTTGATTCAATTAAACCAGAATATTCATCATCATCATTATCAAATGATTTAATTACTTATCAATCATCATCCCTTTCACCATCTACAGCAAGTTCAATATCGACAACATTGGATAATCCACCAACAAATTTTTCATCATCATCATCATCATCATCATCACCATTATCAAACGGTACCCATATTTGTTTAATTGTTGATGAATATTCTGTACGAATCTTTATGGTGCGCACTTAACACGCACATACAACATAGTCATAAAACATTTTTAGTTTCGTTTCGTTTTATGAAAATGAAAATTTTATTTTGATGGAGCTTAAATTTTTCCATGTTTGACAAATTATTATTTCCATCATCATCAATACAAGAACAAGGATTTTTTTTTCTTACATTGGTGAAATGTTCATTGGCTTTTTCTTTTTCTCACTCTCACTCTCTCTGACTCTCTCTCTCTCTCTCTCTCCTCCGGCTCCCGATATTTCATCATTGTCATTTGGGATGTGATTTAAAATAAAATAATTCTGGAGTGAATTTTCTTCATCATCATCATACAACACACAAGACATGATTGATGTTATAAATGTTCGGAATATATGGAGAAACAAAAAAAAAACGATTTTCATTTTGTTCATTTTTTTATTTCATTTGGATTTTATTATTATTCCAAAATCATCATTGTCGGTAGTAACATATATAAAAATCCATGAAATTCGGATTTTTTTATTTTTTTCACACTTGAATTCTTAAAGATTCTCTCGAGAATTTCTTACTGTTTTTTATTTTTTTATTTTTGTTTGTTTGATTCGAAATGAAATGAAACGAAACGCAACAAAACAAGAGATTAACACAGCAAGTGTGTTTTTTTCGGTTTTTGTTGTTGTTGTTGTTGTTGTTTTTGAAAGAAATTTACCGAATCCAAGAATTTGGTGCCAGGCTGAAAGATCATGATTCTGACAATCAAGTGTGCGATTGTGTGTGTGTGTCATCGTAATTCGTATTCGTAATAATATGTCACATTTGTCACTTTTTTTGCTATTTTATTTCATCTTTTTTTTCGAGGATTGGCATCCAACTTATCGAATTGATGTGGTTGATGACGAATTTCTTTTTTCTTCATCATCATCATCATCATCATTAGAATACGTGAATGTGGCAATTTGGTTAGAAAAGCGGAAAATTCTTTTTTTCTTTGCAAGCAAAAAAAAAGAGAGAGAAAGAGAGAGGGGAAAAAACGTTGTAATTTTGTGAATGAATAAAACATTGTAAACAAAACAAAACAAAAAAGAAGTGTCAACAAAATTTGTAAAAAAAATTATTGTAATAAACTTTAAACTTTGAACTCAATATAGGGAAAAACGTCCATTCTGAATTGTAATTTTCATATATGAGCCACAAGCATATCCTTTTTGTTTGGCTATAACTTTTTCAGTTTTATTCCGAGATGTTTCATACTTTGTGCATTTGAAGAAGAATGCTTGATTAATATCTGGGCCAACTGGTCTCTGGATCAGAAAAAGTGTTTGAATGAATGCGATAATCTAAATGTAAAAGATAAATTGTTCTGGTGATTTGTGTTGATCTTCGACGATTATGTAAACATTGTAAACAAATGAATCAACTGGTATCAACTCTGAAAATGAATCCTGTGAATCATCTATGTCTTCAGATTTGGAAGAAAGTAATATGACAGAAAGTGATGGAGAATCTACCGAAATAGATGAATCAACAAATGAAGATGAAGATGCAAATGACGATTGGTTGGACGTTGAAAAATACCCGAAATATTTGATTTCAATGGATGTGAAGGTGTAAAACAAAATTGGCCAAAGCAAGTGTCAACAAAATGTTGTTGAAAATTTATTTATTCCAAACAAAGCTGCAAAGTACGGAATAAATTGTAAAATTAAACGGTTTCATTTTGTAATAAACTTTAAACTTTGAACTCAATATAGAATCATTTAAGAATCGTGTGTGTGTGTGTGTATGTGTCCATGAAACCAAACATCATTATTGATTATAATCAATTCATGGCCGGTGTTGATAGAGCAGATCAAATGATGTCTTATTATTCAACACCACGAAAAACAGTTAGATGGTACATCAAATTGTTTTTCCATTTATTTGACATGAGCATGATCATATATCTTAATTTTAGAGATGAACTGACTAAATCTTTACTCGAATTGATATTAATGGAAATCACATGTCCATTCTGAATGAAATTCTATTTATTCACCATTCTGTGTTTTTTTTAATGTGCGATAACCGGTGAACAGAGAAAAAAATCCATTATTTGATAATAATAATAATGAAGATAATAAAATGGTAGCAAAATAAATTTTCCATATCATCGAAAACAATTTTTATACAATCAAACCAAACAAAAAGTGCAACAAATAAAGAATGAACAAACATTTTACATACACTTAGAAAAGAGACTAGTAACGAATAGAAAATAAAACGAGGCGAATAATCGTGTTTGTTTCATTCATTTAAATTATTTTTTTTTTAATTATAATTACAGTACATCATCATCAAATAAATAGAATATGCCATGACAAACACACACGCACACACACACACACACACACACACAGAGAGAGAAATTATTCTATTCATTGAAAACTGTCGCCGTTAAGAATTCGACGCCAGTCAACCTATCTAGCTCTCTTTCTTTGTGTAAAGTTCATATACCGATTGGCCAAGAGTTAATTCTAAAATAAACAATTTGTTCGCAACAACAACAACAACCGATGTATGTGGAAAAAATAACACAATTTCAACAGATATTTTTTTTTTTTTTCGTCAACATAACGACAAACTGTTTGTTGATTAATGATGATAATAATAATAATAATGATGATGATGGCATAGGGATAATCATCATCATAGTCATAATGGATTTTGTCTTCTTAATTTTTTTTTATTTGTTCTTTAATTCTTACTGTTGAATTATAATATTTTAATGTTTTTTTTGGTGATGATGCTCAAAATAGTCATGAATCACTTCTTTGATTCATGACTATTTTGAAGTTTTTTTTTCATAGAAGAATTTTCACATTTGATTCACTAAAATAATATAATTACGAATCGAATTACCGGAACAGAATTTCTGTTGGCCAAAATATCTTTTTGTTGTTGTTGTTGTTTTTTTTTGCACGAATAAATTCCGGATTATAATCTCTTTTTTCTCTCTTTTTCCATATTTAACCAATGAAAAATATATAGAGAATCAAACAACAACAACAACAGCACAACCACGGACACAATCACGAAAAGAACCGGAAACAACGATCGAAAATAATAACGAAGACGATAAACAGCAACAACAACAACAACAGCCGAATGCTATGTACTCAAGTAGCATATCATTATCACCATCACCAACACAAACATCGACAACCACTAACAATACATCCCAATCATCAGCAGCCAACAATAATTCCTCTGCCAACATTAATAATAATAATACCAATACAATCACCACCCATTCTTCTACCACTTCCACTTCCTCTTCAGTTACTTCCTCCTCATCTTCAACAACAACATCATTAACGTCATCGATATCAATAAATCGACAATCGCCACAACAACAGCTTCCAGCATCATCATCAGCGGAACAACAATCAAATATTCTAAGTATCTCATCGAATACGTTATCATCACAATCGCAATCACCTTCACTGACAACAACTTCGACAATAACAAATAGAGACCAACAACAACAGGAAGCATTAATATGGTCATCAACAGTATCGGATGTTACGAACAAAAACGCCCAACAACAATACTCATCATCGATAATACCTCATCATACAACAACGGGACAACAACAACAACAACATCATCAATTGATTTGTCCATCAACAACAACTCAATTTATAGCTATTCCCGATCATCATCCTCATCATTCTCATCAGCATACACACTCACTTCATCATCAACATCCTTTCCACCATCATCAACAACAACAACAACACCTGCAACAAACACATGGCCATCATCATCAACAACAACAACAACACCATCAACTTCATCGTCATCACAATCCACATCCGCATCAACAACATCATCAACAGCATCAACAACAACAGAATCCTCAATCAATATCTATAGTAACCGAAACAATTTCATCAACACCCTCCTCAACAACAACATCATCGTCATCATCATCACCATTCATAACGATATCCGGTGGCCAATTAGATTCTATTCATGGAACAATTTCCGGTGATCCATTATCTGCAGCTACAAGTTATACACAAAGAGCTGAAGCGATATTTGCCGGTACATCATCATCGTTTATAACGCCACAATCAACACATTCTATTTATGGTAATACTGGGACAGGACAAAGCTGTACACAGCTACAAACTACCGATTTAATTGGTGGCAATGTTCTTACAATCAATGGTTCATCATCAACATCAGCATCATATATAACACCGTCAACATTAACGTTAGCTGCACCGGCGGCTATTGTTGGTGAAGATTTATTTATTAGTCGGGCACCGCAACAACAACCTCCACCACCACTACCATCTACAACATTCCAATGTCCAGCGGCTAGTTTTTCCACATCAGCAGCGGCAGCCGCAAGTCTACATAAATATCATGCCACACAATGGCCTTATTATACGGCAACGACATCCACATCAACTTGTACGCCATCTACATTAGAATATTCAAACATTGTTGTTCCAGGAACATCATTATTAACGACGGGCAATATCATATCGGTTAAACAGGAATTATGCGACACAGAATCCACCAGTTATGGTGGTTCAAATATTTCAACAGCTACCGATATTATTAATGTCACTGCCAATGATCCATTGACGAATTCACCATCGTCATCATCTGGATTAATATTGGAAAGTGGTAGCGGCACTGGTGCTGCTGAAACCGGTAGTAGTGGACGTGAATCCCGACGAAATTCTAATCAAAGTTATAGCGGATCAACAACTAGCGGTGGTCAACAACAACCACAAGAAAGGCCAGCTACATTGGCCGAATATAATCAATCCACATCGAAAGGACATGAAATATTAAGTCAAGCATACCAGAATAGTCCAATACCGTTGAAATTGTTGCCGGTTAAAACACGTAAATATCCAAATAGACCATCGAAAACACCGGTTCATGAACGGCCATATGCATGTCCAATCGATGCATGTGATCGTCGTTTTTCGCGTAGCGATGAACTGACACGTCATATCCGTATCCATACCGGACAGAAACCATTTCAATGTCGTATTTGTATGCGTTCATTTTCACGAAGCGATCATCTCACTACACATGTACGTACACATACTGGTGAGAAACCATTCTCATGTGATCTCTGTGGTCGTAAATTCGCCCGAAGTGATGAAAAGAAACGTCATGCAAAAGTACATTTGAAACAAAAAATTAAACGTGAGCGTGGAACATCCGGATCCGGTGGTAATCGTAGTGGTCAACGTGGTGGTGGTGGTGTTAGTGGTCATAGTTCAAGTTCAAATTCTCAACAACAACAACAACAACAACAACAGCAACAGCAACAAATAGCTCTATCTCAACAGCAACATACAACAACAATGTCTTCATCAATCGCCTCACAATTATCAGCTAGTCTTTGTCCACAATCTTCTATGATCACTGGTCATCATAGTGGTGAACATTTAATCGCTGGTCTTTCATCGTCAGCATCAACAACATTACCACCATTACCATCGATTATGACATCATCATCAACGATTTGTGGTACACCACAATCATCACAAATTATTGGTGGTGGTACATTGCCAACATTACATTATACTCATTCACATCTATAAAACAAAACAAAAAATAACGTGCAATTCCTCCCTCAAATATACCCTTCATATTGGAACAAATGAGAAAAAAAAATAATTCATAAAACACGCACACACACACACACACAGAGATTCATTAAACCCAAAAAAAAAAAAAAACAAAACAAAACAACAAATGAACTAAACCAAACTAAACTAAATCAGTACAATCATCATCAATTATGAGCATTGCCATAAAAATTGTTTATGTATATTATATATATTTTCTATAATGAAAAACAAAACAAAACAAAAAACCTAACAAAATATTCATTGATTTCTTATTTCGTTATTTTATATAAAGAAAACAAATTCAAATATTTATTATTATTATTATATTATTATGAAAAAACCTGCACACACAGGTAATTTTAAAATGTTTTGATTATCTCATTCGATGATGATGTTTTTTTTCACTTTTTTTTGATATATGATGATATAAATTATTATATTTTTGTTACCATTATTTTTTTTAATGGAAAAAAAATTTTAAAAATTTTTCAAAATTCAAAACATTCGACACCATTGCCTAATTTTTTTTTTTTTTTTTGGTAAAACTCCTACTTGCCTCACTTTATATCTTTCATTGTTGTCGTTTGTTTGTTTGTCTGTTTGTTTCCACTCAATCACTCATCAAATACACCCACACACCCACATCTATTGGCAAACATTCCAGAAACATTTTTTTTTTGAATTTTTTGAATTAAACTGAAAAATTTTCATGTTATTTTTCTTTCTTTTTTTTTGCCTAATTGTTTGTCCAGATTTACCAAATTTGTCTTAACTTGTCTACACACACACACACACTCACGCGTACATCAATACCTTTTGTCTCAAAAATTTTTTTTTTCGATAAAATCTCTATATCTACGTATAATAATGCAAAAAAAAACACTTGTACGTGGATATAATAATTATTGATTATTGATTATATACTATCTATATGTCTATATATATATATTGATTATTATTGATGATGATTATATTTGATGTTCTACTATTATATATTATATATTGATTATTCAAATTATTATTATTATTATTATTATTAATATTTAAAAAATTGAATGAATGACCAAATTGTCCAAATTATTACGGTTTGAATGATAATGAATAATGAAAAATGAATTTTTGTCAAAAAAAAAATCAACATTGTTGATGGATTTTCGTAAGATTCTGTTGTAGGATGTACAAGACCGAATTTTCTCACCTAACAAAAAATTTTTTAACTGACTATAATATAATTAGGCGAGTTTACTAAATTAAAAAAAAAAAAACAAAAATTTTTTTTTTGTCCTTCTCGACCTCTAAGCCTAATCTATTCTGGTGACAAGTGATCAATTTTCATCAATTAAATCAAATTCTTTGCGTGTGTGTGTGTGTGTGTGTGTGTGTGTATGTATGTCTTATATCATCAACGAAGCAAATAGTAGCAGCCATACATTTACTTACAATGAAATTGAGTAAAACAACAACAACAACAAAAAATAAATAATGATTAGACACCCACATCAATACCACTCTATTATTACTACTATAACTATGACATATATGGATATTGGTTGTTGATCAGCCCACATTGAGATGCCATATAAAATTGAAAAGAAAAATTAATGTTTTTTTCCGTTTCCACATTTAATCAACCAATATATATATCAATAATAGATTAGATATATACACATCAATATTGAGTGATATATTGTAAATATCGCAAAATGTCATCAACATTATAGCCATTCAACAAAAATGAAAAAAAAAAAAAAAAAAATAAAAAAAAAAAAAAAATGAAATCGAACCGGAAACCAAACGAAAAAAAAATTTATTCATTCACCTTTATTACATTGAATCTTTCATTCATGCATAAAAACATGGAAGAAGAAAAAAATTAGACCACCATTCACCAGAATTTAGATTTATAAAATGTCAAAAAAAAAAAAATCTCGCCGTTGTCGTTGTCGTCATTGTTGTTGTTGTTGTTGTTGTTGTGCGAATAATTCTTGTTTTATTTCCTCGTTTAAAAATTCTCATTTTTTTTACATAATTAATTATCATTATTCATTTTTAAGAAATGGATGATGGTAAGAAAAAAAAAATTTCTGAACAAAATTGACAGAAGAAAAAGAACAACAACAAAACAAAACAAATTTCTTTCTCCAAAGAAAATAAAAAACATCAGACAAAAAAAAAATAAAAAAAACACCAAGCAAGAACATTTGACATTTATTCATATATCGATTTATGATGAACAAGACAATCAATCAATCATAATCATTCATTTCATTTAGTTCGTACCTTCATATCAAAGAATTCTATGTCAAACTATGATTGACGATCGTCGTCATCATTATTTACGAGAAAATGAAATCATTGTAAATCGACCGATCATCATTTTCAAAGAATGGAATCATAAATTCTACAATTTTTTTTTAGTCGAAAAAAGAACTTGTCTGTCTTCTTCTGTTTTATTTTTTATTTTCTGGTTTTGTCATTAAAATTGTTTTAGTTTTTTTTTTATTTCTTTATTTTTAGAATATCAACAACAACAAGTCTTTCGTTTTGTTAGTTGGTTGGCAATATGAAGAATGTTGATGAATTTTTTAAGCTTAATAGGTATTATAATTTGTGAATAAACAGAAAAACAAAAACAAAAACAAAAAAGACAAAAAAAAAAAAACAACAAAAAAAAGTAACCGACAACAAACATGAACCATTCAATGAAATAATGAATGAAAAGCTTAAGTAGTTTATAAACTATTAGATTTTTTTTGGCAACAAAAAAAAAATTGAAAAGAATTTGACAAAATAAAAGAGATTGCTTGGATTTTCATCTGGGATATATATCTCGAAGCAATCCATCATCATAACCTAGCTGAGTGATGTATGTTTCAAAGTTGTGAGTTTAGAAATTCAAGTTGATAGTTGAAATGAAAATGATTTTCATTTATTATTTGATAATTAAGAAAGAACTATGGAACCATATCGAATGATTTGTTACGGGAATAATTATTCAGGCTACCACCACCACCACCAATGGCAGATGATGATTCAAGATCCGGTGAATCAAGATCATTCGTATAGCTAACATATTTAACAGCACCTTCTTGACTATTCAATAATTGTGTCTGTTGTGATTTACTTGTTGTTTGATTTGTACATGGTGGATTACGTAACATAAGCATACATGGTGCAAATGCAAAACTTATCAATGCTGATGTTGTACATAAACCGGTGAAACCAAACCATGATACTGGAAATATTAAATCATTAGAAAGAGCACATCTTTGATTTATAACAAAATTTACCAAGAGTTCCGGATAAAACCGGACCAATAGTGAATCCGATGCAGAATGCTACATCACCAATAGCGTAAACGCTACCTGTTTGGATGGATAAGATTCATTATATAAGTCGATAAAAATGAAACTAACCATAAACCGATGTATGTCTGATGTCTACTAAATATCCTGCAAAAAAATATGACAATAACCGTTTCAGAAACAATCATGCTAAGACATATTAACCAAAACGCTTACCAAGCATTGGCATCATACTACTGTCAACCATTCCTGTAACGTTTGAAAATGATATAACAATAACATAAATCGAATTGAAAAAAAACTGATATCACTTACCAATAGCAAATCCAATTAATGCATTCGGCACAATAAGCTCAGAAAGATCGGTGGCCATAGGAATCTATGGAAAAAATTGTCAATAATTGATTCAATCCATACATATATTTATGTGATACATACATAAAGTAATGCTAAGCCAATGATAATCAGGCCACACATGGATGCAAGCCATCTACCCATACGATGTCCCAATGGCCCAAATATATTTGTACCAATCAGATAGGATATTGATGCAGGTAAGAATGCGGCACCTTGTTCCCAATTTGTTGATTCCATTGTATCCATCATCCATAAAGGCAACGATGGTTCAAGTATAGCAATTCCTATGAAAAGAAATGAATTTCAATTTGATTGACAACCGATAAATAAAACTGATGGATTGATTGAAAATTATACCTAGATTGGCAAACGTGATAGCACCGGCGGCCACAATAATATAAGGATCACGAATCAATGTCATCAATGATGCACCTTCTTGTTCTTCACGTACAACTTTCGGTTGTAAAACAAGCAGCTGTAAACAGCCATCCAATAAGGCAAACATTGCCAATATAATGAATGGCGCACTTTTACCAATAAATTCATACATAATACCACCAAATGGTGGTCCAATCAGCACACCCAATGCAAGGCCACCCAATGCAATCGCCATGCTATTACCTCGTTCACGATCATCCGGATATTTGTCGGCTAAAAGGCCCATACCGGCTACACTTGTAAATGCCGAACCAATTCCTTGTAATGAACGAGCCATAAATAGAGTAGCATATGATGAGCCGACGGCAAAAACTATTTTTGAATAAGAAAATGATTTACAATCAGTTTTTTCTGAGAAATTCGTAAAATTAAATCATCTTACTCATGGTTGAGAAGAATAACAATATTAGCCCCATAAATAATGGCCACGAGTAGCCGATTCTTTTGTTGATCGGAAGGTTATCAAAAAAAAAATGATGATAATTCGTGATTAGTCAAATTTGTTACATTTGATTGCGGTCATCAAATATCAAAACATCCGACAACGACCTACTTGTTGGTCAATGGGCCGACAAATGGATTGGTAATAGCCTGCACGATTGGTTTTGATGCAAACATAACACCAACTTCAGTATTTTCATTGACAAGCTCTTGATGTCTAAGTTCATTTGCATCAATAGGTGATAATGTCGTGATCATCGCCATAGTTGCTGTTTCCGAATCACCATCAGTAGTTGTTGTTTCAATATTGTTCATTAGATAATCTTCCAGCTGTTTGATGGAAAAATCAATTAAATTTGTTTTTATCAATTTAAAATAATATATACACACAAACCTCTTTTTCACAATATGGATTCAATTTCTTTGCCAATGGTGAATTTGGTGCCAACAATCGATTTAATAATTGGGATTGTTGTAAAAATGTTTGATCAATTTGGGATAATTTTCCATTCACTGGTGTTATTGTTGTTGTTATCGATGTTAATGATTCATTCAATTTAGCCAGATCTTTTTCATGATTCAATTCATATAGAAAAGCCGGTATTATTGGCACTAATGACGAACACAAAAAAGAACTTTGAGTTAATTTCCTGGTAAAAATTGATTTGAAAAAAACATACCGACAGAAGTGAGCAGCATATTATCCAATAATAAACCAATGGCAACGATAACCAATACCAGCCGTCGTGAATCTCGACATTGGCTGAGAAGATTTTCCAATTTTTCCCATACTGTTGATGGTCCATCAGATGGTTGTGGTGGTGTTGAATTATTTTGCATTATTTCATGCAGTATTTGACGGAAAAATAAAAATGATGTTATGCAGAATGTTAACGGTAATATTGAATGGCAGGCTAATAAATCCGTAATTGAACAAAAAAAAAAACAACAAAGATAATGAAGATAAATTCTGGTATAATTAATGCCATATTACATACATTCATATGAATATTTTAGATATTAAAATTCTGATGATGGTCTTAACCTGTTTAATTAAATATAAAAGATTTAATTACATAAAAATTCATGTAGAAAAGTAAACAAAAGTTAGTCATTATCACATAAATTAATTGTCATTGATTTTTAAAATTGAAAAATTTCATACAAATAAACTAATTTCGTAATGTTATCGATGGGAATTCATCGATCAATTTTAAGAAATGGTGAAAGTGAACAGGAAAACAAGAAAAAAAAACAGAGAAAAATCAATTATCTAAAAATGTCAAACACAGAAATAGGATTAATGATAAGGGTAATAATTTTCAATTAATTCATTTGGATAATCAAATTTATTTGATCAAAAGCAAAGAATGAAGAAGAATGAAAAAAAAATTGAATCTAATATTTCTGCATCATCAAACAAGATCATCAGATTCTGTTAACAACTGAATTGACTTTTATTGATTAACTCTTGGTGTTCACTACTGAAAAAAATCAGCTATATTATGTTAGGTTAAATAATAATCATCGTGAATCGAATATGCATCCAAGTTCAGCAATGGAACGATTCTAAAGGATCTATTGTTATATATGGTGATAACAATAATGGATCGAAGGACGGAAATCAATCCGATTATTTGTGGAACAATTATTTGCCCATTATAGCATGAAATATATTGTCCGTATTTATTATTATATTATTATTAAATTGGAATCGACTCGATCATTTCCCATTTTTTTTTCTCTATCTTGCTCTTGACTTTTTCTTGTTCGTTATCATCATTGTTTTGCAGCAGCAGCAGCATCATCATCATCCAATTGAATTCAATATTATGCCCATGACGATGACGACGAGAGAAAGTTCATCATCATCGGTAGTGATGACGGCGACATTCAATTTGAAAAAAAAATTTATCTCTTCCAATTTAACAAAAGGCTGATATAAATTCAATGAATGAAGGAATGATGATTCGTCGTGTTGCTTGGTGTTCAAATTCTTTTGATACGAAAAATTTGTCCCAGGCCCAAATATGAGGAACAGAATAAATATAGACCACCATCAGCACGGCCACCATTGCTTATCATCATCTATGCTATCCAAGGATAGAAAAGTTCTGTCCCCCTTACAGATGATCATATCTGATGATGATGATGATGATGATGATAATAGAAATGTGAAATATAATGAGAAAAAAAGTGCCGTAACTAGGAACAAAAAAGAGATGAAAAATTTCTAACCAATCAACCGATTCATTCCGAGAGGGAGAGAGAGAGAATTCAGTTTTCATGGTCACACATTCATCGATTCATTCATTCAGTGATCCACTTACATACATTGAAATAGGGAATATTCTTGGTAACGACAACTTTAATAATAATAAATAGAAAATACAAAAGAAAAAACTCTCCCCCATCTTTCTTCATTCAATGGGAGAAAAGTCAAGTTTTTTTCATTTTTTGCCACCACCACCATCATCATCATCAAATCATCTAACCTAAACTGAACCTATTTCCCTATCCTCCTCTTAACAACTATAAAAACGATGACAATAAGTTCAATTATGATTATAATGATGATGATGATGATGAGCTATGAAGAATGTGGTGATGATACTAGTGGATATTAGAATAATAAGAAAGAAAAAAAAGCCAAGTCAATTCTATTCCTCTTTTATTTGAAGTTAGTGAGAAAAAATTTGATTATTATTAACGAAAATAAAAACGTTCCAAAAGTCCAGGAATTCACCCGTTTTTTTTCATCAAATTTCATCATCATCATGATATTTGATGATGATGAAAAAAAAACAAATATGGCAACGGTGTCAATTATTTATCAATATTTTCGCAATTATTTTTATTATTAAAATTGACAATAGCCAAAATGAATGAATGAATTAAAACGATCCATTACACACATGCTACCATGCAAACATACAATGAATCGATAGTGATCAATTGATTCTAGAGTATTGTAGTGGTGAATCGATGGTCAATCGATTGTAAGATTGGATTTCAAATAAATTTGATTTTTTTTTCATATTTTTAACACACACACACACACTTGAAAAAAATCGATTGAAGATGTTCAATATTATTAGAGGAATGGCCATTTGACATTCCATTTTGGACCGGAATTAATTTTATTCAGACCATTATATATTTCATAAATGGAAAAAAAGATGGAATTTTCACCATTATCACCGTCATTGTTATATGATGATGAAGTTTTTTTTAGATAGATAACGCGATAGATAGTGAATAGGGGAGAAATTCTTGTTATTTAAAGAACAATCACACACACACACACACACATTTCGGTTTTCTTATCTTATTACACTATTATTGGGAAAGTTTGTGCTCGTAGTGGACGGGAATATTTTTTTTTTTTTTTTTTTGAATTTTTTATACCCATCTCTTTCATTGAAAAAATTTTGGCCATTGTTGTTATTGCCATAATTCATGACTGTCTCATCAGTATTGTTAAACAACAAATATTGAGAAAAAAAACGAGAATGTCAGAATGATAACGAGAGAGAGAGAGAGAGAGAGAGAGAGAGATGAGAATAATCGATGAATTGAATAATGAAAAAAATTGGAAAAATTCTATGTTGTTGACAATAGTGTTCATTTGAATTTCAATATCAATCCATTTTGGTTTGATATTCATTCATTCATGATTACCGTATAAGGCAAGAAATCGACAAAAACAATCAGAAAAATTTGATACAACAAAATTGTAAGGAAAATTCAACACAACAACAACAACAACAACAAACAAGTTTTACATGCAATCAACCGAATTCAGTTGAATTAAAAGTAAATTAATCTGAAAAAAATTACAAATCAAGAATTGTTTCTTAAAGAAAACTTTTAAATTTACCTTTAATTCGATAATTATTGATGGATTCGACCGGGAAAAAATTTAGTTTGAACTATCTAGTTGGTTGATATGAATGATGGATGAAATTCGTTTTTTTTTCAAAGAGATTTTCGTTTGATTCTGTATTTTCGACAATCGGTTTCGGCATTCACCATTTGTGTAGCATCGTACACTTTTTTACCAAAAAAAATTTATTTCTGAAATGATTCCATTTGTTTCATTACCCGTTGAACTAAACACCGATATTTCGTTTACGAAAATCGAATCAAGCATGCGTCATTATCTTGTTGCTTGCGTTCCAAAATACAACAAAGTCTGGTAATAATACCCGTATGTGGGTGTGTCATACAAACACACATACACACACACATAACAACAACTTATAAATGATACGGTTATTCTTTCTTCGGTTTTTACCAACTTTTTTTTCATCATTCATTCGGATAATTTTAATAATAATTGATTTATTAATATTAAATTGATGGATTTATGACATTGAATGAAAAAAAATGTGACATAAGTTGTGAAAAATTGAATTTTCGAACAATTTTATTGCACCTGATTGAATTTATAGGGGAAATAGCGCCATCTGGTGTCAGTTTTATGGTATATAAATTTTTTTTTTGACGATTAATTTAACCAAGTAATTTATGAGCCTGTTCATAGGATTTGGCCGATAGCTCTGGTTGACCATTCATACGGAATAATTGTGCCAACAACAGAAAAAGACGTGTGGATTTAAGTTCCACACCTAATTGATATGCTTTTTCCAATGATCCATTACGTACGAGATGGTAGAAAAATCGAATGGCTAATTGACGAATATCAGGAAGAATTTGTTCGAAAATTTTATAATCAATCGGTGTCATCGGTAATAGAAATGTGGCCAATGTTGATTCAATATATTTAACGATCATTTCTCGAGTATCAGCACTGGAAACGGATGATAATTCAGCAGTGATAAGATGTTGAAATATTAAATGTAAACAATGGTATGCCTGTTCATGTGAACAATTCCAATTGATTGTACGTAGAACATTTAATGATTCTTCATATTGTTTTCGGAAAAGATATTCATTGATTAGGTGTTTGAATGATAAACGATAGGGTAGAATATATAATTTCATACAGCAGCAACAGGTGGTGGACATATGGTGATGTCGATTCGAATTTATCGGATCTTTTGATCGTAAAATCGATGATAATGGCTGTTGTGGATGAACAATTGTATCAAATGAATCTTGACGACGATTTTCCACCATCAATACGACAAGTATGTTAGACGATAAGAATTGTAATCGTTTGACGGACATATTCGAATTCGGATGACATTCGTTTGATATTGATGTTCGATGTGTAATATTCTGAAAAGCAATATCATAGAATGATATTGAACCATTCGGATCACAAGTCACAAATATTGAATCCAATGGATATGTAGCCATATGACAGATTGGTTTACTCGAATGCAAAGCATACAGAACATTCTGTTCGATATTAAATAACATAACGGATTCATCATCACAAAGTAATAAGATTTTATCCTGCAATCTAGTAAATTCAGCACCAAAACAAAGTTTTTCCAATGGTATACCAATCTCGAACAGCAGTTTAATTGTAACAGCATTATCGCCTTTATGTTCCGAATTAGAATCGATTAATTCGAACAGTGAATAAGTCAGATTATAAACGGATGTTTTCTGTTTATGTAATACTCCGAATTTATCACGATCATTTGCCACGAAATCTGCCTACGATTAATAGTTTAAAAAATTATTCACAGAATGTTTACAAAAAAAAAAGAAATTCACCTGTAGAATTTCACCATTAATCGAATGATCGAATTCGATTAGCCGAAAATCATCCAAGGCCAATAAAGCAAGGTTTTTTTCCATTTGTTGTTGTTGTTGTTTGGCTGTGGATGTGATGGGCAATGATTTTATGATTGGCCGATGTGGCATTCGATTTGACCATAATAATGTCAAATGACCAGATTCACATATGGTTATATTACGTTTGGCCAGACCACGGCCATTATTATGGCCACCCAATTGTTCCAAATGTTTTAAACGATAATTATTTTTGAATTTCAATTTACAACGTGATTCATTCAAATTGTCAAATTCAACCATAGCAATTAATGGTTCAACAAATGCTATGAGCACTGCATTACCGGTGATCTCAATGCTTGAAATACGTTTTGATGATAATTTATGAGGCACAATCTGATCATGACCAATAGCAATGATCGATTGATAATCTGAATCAAAACATATAGATGATATGAGGCCATGATTGAATGCAAAAACAATGCCACGAAATCCATTTGTACGCCTTTCCAACCATTTTATTTGACATAGGCTATAGTTATTTAAATAATGTTCTAATAATTTTAATCGTCGTCGAATTTTTTGTATTTGATATGGTTTTAACCGATCATTGTTTGGTTGATAACCATTCAATAAACATCTGGATGATAATGGTGATAATTCAAATGATGATGATTCGTTATACATGATTTGTTTATACATTCACAACTATACCACCTGATGATTGTTTTGCCACTTGGCAAAACGTTACACACTGCCACAACAACAAAAACAACAGTGCAGACGCGATTGAAATATGGCTCGAATTCGGAACATACAGACATTCATGTGATACAGTGAAATTGTTTTGCTCGAAAACTTTTATATTGAATTTATTTAATCAAATTTGGCAATTATTATTGTTGATGATTATAATGAGTATAAATAGAAATAGATTATTACAATGAAATGAATGGACATTCAATCGTGAGGATTGAGAGCATATTTGGAAGTAATAGATCTCTTTCAAGTTCAATTGAAGCATTGGTTTCGGCTGGTTTCACACGAATCGGGAGATAAAAATCACGGAGAATTTTGTTCTTGGATTTAATAACAACATGATCATCATTCATTTTCAATCGAATATCAGGTTGTAATTTTTTGAATCCCAATTGAATTCGAATCTTTTGCTTTTCCAAATCAAGTGTAATATCATTGTCTGCTATATTTAATCCATAATAAAAGGACAATGTTTCATCCACAATGAGTGGATAATAAACTGATCTTAGTGCCGTAATAAATGATGGTGGTTCTAATTCGATCAAAAAGTTGAATTCTCTTTCGAAAAAACCATTGCGAAACAAGAAATTCTTTTTTACTTGAAAGTTGACATTGTCATAATAGAAATCGTAGCGCAAATTTATCATATCGATTGCAAAATAGATGAGATAATATTGGAAAAATATTGATTTTTCAATCGTTTGTTCATAATATTGTTTGTTAACTATGACAGTGGCCAACATGGCCAAACAATAATAAACTTCATTCCAGATATCATCGAAATCATTTTCACAAAAATTCAGACGTTCCAATATCAATGGAATGGGATATTGTGCCAATCCATCATAATCGTTTTTAGCCATTAATTCTTTGAGATAGTCTTCATCTGATATGAAAACAGGTGCTGAGACCTAAGTACAATTGAGAAAATGAAACATATGTAATATCTGGATTCAAATTTACTCAATGTCATTATCGTTATATGACATACCGCTGACGAAGGACAGAAATTGATAAATAATGGACGATGTCCACGTTTACAAAAAGCTTTGACGACAAAACCTGGTGTTTTCGTTTGAATTCGTTCAGGATTCATTTTTTTTGTGATTGAGTTGATAAATGAAACAATTTCCTTAATCAATTTAAATATATTTTGAATTGAATAAATGAACGATCGATAAGTCAAGAGAAAGCGTTTTGTTTGGATAAAGAATCTTTACTTGTTGATAAGAAACTCACAAAATGGAAATTTCGAAATGAGAAAAAAATGTATGCACGACTTACACACAATGGAAATGATCACACCATTTTACTTTTTTTTTTGTCAGAACAATTCTGTGTGTATGAAATATTGAACAAAAAGGAAATACATTTCATCCTATCCTATATGAATGGTAATATTTAATTTTTTTTTTGAATAATAAAATTCAAAAATTATCACAATAAAATTACAGGACATTCGATCGTTAGAATTGATGATACAATAGAAGCTTTGGCTTCTGTTGGCTTTACTCGTATTGGTAGATAAAATTCTCGAAGTATTTTATTTTCCATAGAATCGAATATGATAACATGATCATCGTTCATTTTTAATCGAATTCCAAAATGCTCAAGTTTTATCTTGATTTTGATGATTTCTTTAGCTATATCGAGTGTAATGATTAGATTTTTCATTAGTTTTTCATAATCATCATCATCATCATCGGCAATAAGCTCCATCTTCGAAGTTTGGTTCGAATCAATAGCCAATGTTTCATCCAATCGTGTCGGTAAATCATTAGAGCCAATTTGTGGTCGATTCAATATATTAGGAGGTATGAAGGAATCGATGAATTTTGAAAATTCATGTTTCGTATCAGCAAGTTGAAATTTCCGATTTTTCAATATAACAAATTCGGTATTGTCCAAATTGACATTGAATTTAGCATTGACTGTATCGATTACGATGTAGACAAGATAATTTTTATAAATTTCCGATAATTGAATTTTTTGCTCATAGAATCGACTATTAATGATGACATGTGTCATTTTGGCCATTTCATTTTTCTTATCCTTAGTCGTATCCAAACGTTCCAACACCAAAGGTATGGTAAATTTTGATAATTCATCATAATTCTCTTGAGCAATCAAATCATGAAGATCCTTTTCATCCAACTGTATGGTTGGTGCTGATATCTGCAATATTGAAAAAAAAATTAAATTTGAGCTATGAAAAATTCAAAATTTTGAAACTTACAGCAAATGAATGACAAACATTTATAAAGAATTTAACTTTATCACGTTTACAATGAGTTTTGACAAGAAAACCCGGTTCTTTTGTACGGATTTGTTCTCTATTCGAAATTATTGAACCAATCTCCTGTAATCAAAAAAAAAAAATACTTTAATGATTAGTGATCAACATTAAAATGATTCTTACATCCATTTTATTTTGGATAAAATTTAACGAAATCAAAATTGAAAAAAAACAAAACAATTCAATCCATTTGGAGACGTTGTCTATGAATGGCGACACTCAAAAATTCATTGAAAAAGGCGCACAATTGAAGTCTGTTTTGAAAAATTTATAAACTCAAATTCGATGATATAATCGATATAAATATTACTCATTCGAATTTGATCGATCATCCAACAAAAAAAAACAAACATGCTTAGAAGTAAAGTTCCATCAATTGTTGCCAAACGAAAATTATTGGGCCAAACAGACAATGATGAAAACCAATCGTTTATAAAATGTGTTGGTTCTAATGATGATGATGACGTAAGACATAATCCAAAACGTTCATGTAATACAAGTCGTACTGCATTAATATCGATAAGAAATTCATTTACATTTCGTCCCAATCTGAAACTTGTCGATGATATCATACGTGAACGTCAATCACATGATGATCATATACGAGAAATTCTAAATCGTCCATTTCGAATACCACTCAAGAATTATACAGGTTTGTTTAGGATTTTTTTATGTTACTGAAATTGAGAATCCTATTTTTTTTATTTGTATGTTTAGGATCATATCGATCATTAGGTATTAAATTATCCGGTCCACGACGTCCATTATTCGATCCAGGTGCACCGAATGCATTGATATTGTATGAACCACCGCCCATAAATGCACAAGAGAAATTAACGAAAAAAGATTATCAAGTTCATGTGGTTGTCGATCCCGTCTTATGCAATGTACTGCGGCCACATCAACGTGAAGGCGTTAAATTCATGTGGGATTGTGTGACTGGTGTACGAATCAACGATCAATTCGGTTGTATTATGGCCGATGAAATGGGTCTTGGTAAAACGTTACAATGTATAACATTATGTTGGACACTTTTGCGGCAAGGACCCGAAGCTCGTGCTACGATCGATAAAGCGGTAATTGTTGCTCCAAGTAGTTTGGTAAAAAATTGGTACAATGAAATCAATAAATGGCTTGGATGTCGTATCAATGCATTGGCAATTGATGGTGGTTCTAAAGAGGAAATCGATCGAAAACTTGGATCATTCATACAGACAATTGGTCGTCGTTGTTGTCAACCAATCCTAATTATTTCATATGAAACATTTCGTCTACATGCTGATATTCTACATTCTGGTGATATTGGTCTTGTTATTTGTGATGAAGGTCATCGGCTTAAAAATCAAGAAAATCAAACCTATATTGCATTGAATCAGATTCGTGCTAAACGCCGTGTACTATTGTCTGGAACACCAATACAAAATGATCTTCTTGAATATTTTAGTCTCGTACAATTTGTCTGTCCCGGTTTGCTGGGAACATCTGCTGAATTTCGTCGTCATTATGAAAATCCAATCCTAAAAGGACGTGATGCCGATGCAACCGAAAATGATCGTCTTCGTGGACAAGAACGATTAAATGAATTGATTCGTTTAGTCAATAAGATTATGATACGACGTACATCGAATATTTTATCCAAATATTTACCCGTCAAAATTGAACAAATTGTTTGTTGTCAACTAACTGAATTACAACGGCAAATATATAAAGAATTTCTTAATTCAAAAGAACTTGCCAAAGTTATTCGTGATGATGTTAAACATTCAACAGGTAGCCGTGGTGGTGGTGGAAATGCATCTTTAGTTGCTATAACATTCCTGAAGAAACTATGTAATAGTCCACAATTAGCTTATGATATGATTATGGAAAATAAGGAAAAGAAACGTGATGGAAAAAATGCTGCCGATCTTGATTTTTTGTTAAAACATTTTCCAAATGATTTCAATTCATTGAGGGGTCGTCAAATAGAGCCAACATTATCGGGAAAATTGAAAATATTGGATACGTTATTGGCCTATATTCGACATGAAACCAACGATAAAGTTGTACTCGTATCAAACTATACACAAACATTGGATTTGTTTGAAAAATTATGCCGTGCAAGAAATTATCGTTACGTACGTTTGGATGGTACAATGTCAATAAAGAAACGTGGTAAAATAGTGGAAACATTCAATGATCCAAATAGTATGGATTTTATATTCATGTTGAGCAGTAAAGCCGGTGGTTGTGGCCTGAATCTTATTGGTGCAAATCGTTTAGTTATGTATGATCCGGATTGGAATCCTGCTAATGATGGCCAAGCGATGGCCCGTGTATGGCGTGATGGTCAACTTAAACAATGTTATATTTATCGTCTACTATCCACTGGTACGATTGAGGAGAAAATTTTTCAACGACAAACACATAAACGTGCATTGAGTACATGTGTTATTGATAATGCAGAAGAAGAAGAAGTTGAAAGACATTTTTCACTTTCCGAATTGAAAGAATTATTTCGATTAGAATTGAATACAAAAAGTGATACTCATGATAAATTGAATTGTAAAATGTGTAAAATTATTGGACAACAACCACCGGCAGATGCTAATTGTACTGATGACCTAACTGTTTGGTATCATTGTCCAGATAAACGAAATCTAGTGGATCAAATATTGAAACGTGTATGGGATCAAGGTATCACGTATTGTATGCATCAAAAATCTCATATACAAAAGGATATTCCTTAATTATATTGTGGAAAACTTATTTTCTGTGATTTTTTCCTCTTATAATTTCTAAGTATTTACATTATTATCATTTTCATAGGAAAATTTTTTTCTGTCAATAAAAATCAAATTTTTCCAATTATGAAGATCAATCAAATGATGAGTGTTGTGTCCTTCTCCTCCTATTATTATCATTAGTGTGATGTACATTTTCCATTGCCTGATTGATTGATTGATTGATCAATCGTTCTACTAATGCCGATGATGATACATTTATCGATTCTAACCGTAAATCAGTTTTTTTAATTGCAAATTTTTTTTCCATGAAAACAATGATGAAATCCTTTATGATTCTAATAACCATTTTGTCATTGGCCGAATATTTTCCATTCCATCATGCAGGTATGTTGTTCTTTTCTTTTTGATAAAGCAGATTTATTAAAATTGACTATGATTAATTTTCAAAGGTAATATTAATCGAATTATTGATAATTCATGGATAGTCACAGAAAATGTGGCCAAAGATGATTTGATCAAGAATGCTAAAGAACTACTGGGACATGGCCCCCAATTTTATGAAAAACATCGTTATAATACGGATGAGAAAATAATACTGTTATATTTGGCTGAATTGGCTGAATTAGAGATTCTGATCGAACAAATCGAATCGACATCGAAGCAGGAACGTTTACAACGTTATGAAAAACAATTGAATATTCATCATGAAAAGATGAATGAATTAGAACAACAGAGTGAACCGACAACAAATAAAACACCGGAACCAACAACACCAACCCCGGAACCAACAACTAAAACACCGGGGCCAACAAAAATATTGTTGATCAAGAATGCTAAAGAACTACTTGAACATGGTCGTCAATTTTTAGAAAAACATCGTTATAATACGGATGAGAAAATAATATTGTCATATATGGCTGAATTGTCTGAATTAGAGATTCTGATCGAACGAATTGAATCGACATCGAAGCAGGAAAGTTTACAACGTTATGAAAAACAATTGAATATTCTTCATGAAAAGATTAATGAATTAGAAAAACAGAGTAAATCAACAAAAACAACAACCGAATAAGGATCAACTAAAAAACCGGCTCCAACAGATTTTTGACCAATGATTCAAGGCTATCAATAGAATAAAATGAAAAACATTCAATTTCAGATTTAATTTATTCTTATTAAATTCAATTCTTTCCAATTCAAATTGAAAATATTCATTCTTTTTTTCAAATATAAAAATTAATTTTCATATATATTTTTCGTTAACACACAAATTGAAAATTTTCCCTCTTTGAAATTTATACAAATCACGAGAATTGATTATTTGTACTTGATTACAATTGTTGTGGCTATATATAGCCCGATAACCTTAATTAATGATGAGAAATATTGATTAATTAATGATAATGGATGCATGTTTATTTGTCATGTCGATTGATTACTGAAAATTGTTGTTACAATTAAATCAATAATAAAAAGATCACAAAATGTTACACTTAGGCTTTGAAATTGAGACAATCATCATTTTAATTAATTATCTTGAAAAATTTCGCAATCATCCAAAAAAAATGATTGTGATCAATCAATCAATTGTGGGAAAAAAATAAAATACATTCTAGAATCGTCCATCTATAAATAGAATTTATTATATAAAAAGATGGTGATAATTTGGATTTTTTTCATAACAAGTGCAATCATCCTTGGTAATAATCCTTACAAACAACAAACACGTTTCCGATATTTACCCGATAAATCTGAAAAAAAATTTCAAAAATGAAATTTCAATTATTTTTTGCCATAACGGTAACAATAGCTATCGGTCTAGCATATGCTGGTAAGTGAATTCGAATCATCATCATTATCAATTATGTTGTTGATGTTGTTTGATTTTTTTATTCTTGAAAATATTTTTATCATTTCCAATTAATCATAGGCGATGATGATAAACAGAAAAAAATTGAAGAAGCTGAAGAAATGATTAACCAAGCCAGAGATTTTCTTAAAGATAAACAAATGAATGGTCATAATGTTGGTGAAATATTAGCTATTCGTGCACAGATTGGTATCATTATTGCAATCATTGGTGAACTTCATACAACCAATGATGAAAAAGCATTGAAAAATATTTATGAACAATTGGAAATACATGAAAAAAAATTACAAGATGATATTGAAAATTTTGGTAAACATTCAACAACGAAATCAATAATTACAGGTAATAAAAAAGATGAACGTGAACGTAGAATTCTTCTTGAACAGGGTTACAAATTAATTGACGAAACGGAATATTACCTTCAAACACATCGTGATTCTTATCATGATCAACATGCAATTGATCGTATTGAACATGAATTGGCAACAGTAAAATCATTGATGGATCAATTAAAAGATATTCATTATGATGAAAAAGAATTAAGAGCGGTTGAAAAACGTCTAGGTGAACATGAAAAAACCTTGAAATATTTGATTAATCATTACCGTATGAATTAAGATTGCCAAAATGATAATTGCTTCATTGAATTTTTTTTTTTTTTGCATTTAAATTGAAATTGAAAATCGATTACTTTATTGATTTTAAATTAATAAATAATAAATTCGAAATTCAATTTTCCATTCCCGTGAATTTTCTTTTTTCTTTGTTATTTCATTTTTTTTTTTTTTTTTTTTTTGATCCAACAACAATAGAAGGGTGTGTGTGTGTTTGACTGTCTGATGATGAAATTTATCACCCAAACATTTTTGATTTCTTCCCCATGGATTTGAACATTTTTAACCAGAAGGTAAATATGGGTGATGTCGTCTGATTCAGGATGATGATCAAAGGTCATTTAATTTATTATTGACCACACCCTGTTGTTGAACAAATTCATTCCATTCAAGGTCTAGGTCATTGTCAAGTTTTTTTTCGATATGAAATTATGATGACATTTGACCTGATATTGGCAGATTTACAATATCAGGTCCAAATGTTGAATGCATTACGCGATGATTAACGAGATTATACAAAAGCTGGTCATCATGTAGATCAAATGGATCAAATTGAATATAAAAAGGCAAAGTGGTTATAATTTAAAATTTAAAATTCTTAATTCTTAATAATTACCATTCCGAAATGCTGTTAGCTATTTTTTTCTCTCTCTCTCTCTCGGTTACAACAAAGAATAACATTTACCATTGCTGCTATCCAATATTGATCAGAATAACTTTCTAATGTGAGTAGCATATAAAAATGTGAAAAAAAGGTAGTAGCAATAATCGTTACCGATGAAAAAAAAGTAGAAGCACGAGCCTTTTGTACAAAAGATGAACAACCAACCATTCTATTCATTTTTTTCAATGGCTTCAAAATTGCGAACGAATGGTTTTTTCGGTGATCGGTCAATTGTATTTTGGTCGTCATACTGAATGTGAGACGACGATCCGTTTTTTTTTTTTGTTCATGTTGTGTATGTGTGTGTGTTATGTTCTGTTCTGTTTTTTTTGGCGCGCTGATTTTGTTTCTCACTAATATTTGTCGTCTGTATATTATACATTTTTATGTTCCATGTTGAGTTGAACAAACCAATGAGTTCCAGAAACTGTATTGAAAAAAAAACAAACGAATCTCATTGATCATCACATTCATTTTTATATATTTTTTGTTGTTTTTTTATTCTAATATTTATCCACATGAAAATAGTTTGTTTATTCCATTTGGAATTAAAAAAAAAAATAATAGCACCTAAGGGGCCAAAGGTCATCATCATTTTCTAATACATCGATGCACAAATCTCATTTGTTAATCAATCATTTGGAACACACACACAACGAAAAAACTGTTTTTTTTCGCTCATTACATTCGATTCATATAATGTGCATTTGTCATTTTTGTTTTATAAAAGAAAAAATTTTCATGTGTTTGTGTGTGTGTGTTCCATGTTTGTAGTGATTGAAATTCTTAATCGAATAAAATAAAATAAAAAATGAGATAATCAACAAAAACTTTATAATATTTGTGTATTTTTTTGATTGAAATTTGATTGATGAATAAATCTATTTTAGTCTTTTTTTTTGATCGTTTTCATTTCATTGATCGATCGATCGATTGATTGATCCGATTCGATCCAAAAAAAAAAACGACGAACCTTTTTATCTTATTATTCACAATAATTCATAAATGAATGAATGATTCTTTCAATACAATTTTCATTTTTTTGCATCCAACAATAAGCTGGCTTCAAAGCTTGGCTGATTCGAACGAAAAAAAGTTTCAAATTCATTACATCGAATATTTATATATTGATTATAATCATTTCCATCATCTGTATCATCAACATCCACATATCACATGTATATACATGAAAATTGATTGTGTGTTTTTTGGTGGTTTTATTTTCATGCGTGTTTTCAGTGCTTGTTTCAGTTTGTATTTTTTCGTTTGCCATTAATTAAAAATCATCAAAATAATCGATTGTCAACGTTTCAGTGTTTGTGTTTTGTCTAATGTGATTGTGTGAATATTAGTTAAAAAAAATGTTCCATAAATTTTTATATAAAATGTGAATCACAATTTTTCAAAGTGAAATTCATTTTTTGGTCGGACTATTTCATCGATTATATCGATGTTTCCATATTATTATAATGCCATTAATTAAAAACAAAACGGATCATCAAAATAATCGATTGTCAACGGAAAAATTGGGTGTATGTGTGTGTGTGTGTTTTCATCAGTGCTATGTGATTTGTGTTTTTGTCTAATGTGATTGTGTGAATATTAGTGTTTTGGAACAAAATAAAAAAATGTTCCATAAATTTTTTATATAAAATGTGAATCACAATGTTTTCAAAGTGAAATTCATTTTTTTTTTGGTCGGACTATAGTAAATCTATTGAATCATCGATTATATCGATGAAAATATTTGTCCATATTATTATAATGACAAAGCCATCATCATCATCATCATTTGGATCCATGATGGCAAACAAAATGTTTACAACAACAAAAATAGATTCCATTGATCAATGGATAATACAACGACAACTACAAAGAAAACGTCGACTATATCAATATGATCATTTTTATGGTGATCAGGAATTAAAATTCGATCAACAAAAAAATCATGAATCATTATCATCATCATCATTGACGAATTTACATTATTTTAAATCCATTTTGAAATGGATTTCATCATCAACAACAACAACAACACGTGGTCATCACATAATATTACGACGACAACGACAATCGACTAGACAACAATTATCAAAACCAACGATACGTCTACGACAATCATCATTGCCATTGCCATTGCCAATGTCATTGTCATTCATTGATGCTGCCTTTTCAACATTATTATTATTAATGATGATGATCATCGTCGTTGTCAATAGTCATGGTAAATTGAATGATGATGATGATGAATACATACTTGCAACTTTATTTGCAACAATTATTAACCACTGTGGTGTGTTTGTATTTGTGTTGGTTAGCCAGTCACGAATTACGTAGATTTCAATTCAATGAATTGTGAAAAAAAAATGGAGAGTTTCCCATTGCTATTGCCATTTTTAGCAATAAAAGTAACATCATTTTAAATAGGTTTATGCTACCTGTCTTTATATACTTAGATGTATATGTGTAGGTGTGTGTATGTGTGTCTGTATATGGATAATTAAAATGAATTACCTGCATCAATATAATATGTGTGAAAATAAATCAAAGTCACATATGTCTTACAGTGGTTATTATTATATTGTTTAAAATGGGTTTACTTATAATTCAACCTAACAATGTTGACCTAGATATTAACCTTGAATCAATTAATTTAATTTTAAAAAATATACAGTATATATTGTCTTTTTTTTTGTATTATTTAAATTTCATATATGAATCTTTATTATATTTTGTCATCATTTATCATGATTGTCATCTCGTTTTTTTTCATCATCATCATCAACGAATCCAAACCCATTCATTATAATACATCATTGTGTATGCGTGTGTGTCGGTGTTCATTATTCTTCGAAACAAATCTCATTTCCAAAAAAAAAAAAAATAAATAAATGAGCCAAAATGTTTCCATTTGATATTTATTCATTGTTTTGTTTTTTATTTTGCTTATAATTATAATGAAAATGTTATAAATACATGCACATGATTGTGAATGTAGAAATCTAATATTTTTTTTTTTTAGATTCGTATGATGATGATGATGATGATGATGACAATGACGTGATGAGATAAGATGAGATGAGGTCTAATAATAATTATAATTCTGATTTTAATGACGATGACAATGATGAAGATGAAGATGACGATGAAGATTATCTTTTTCTTTGTATTTGCATAGCAAAAAAAATGGTTAATGTTTTTTTTTTTTTTTCGACATATCCTAACACAGGGGTCGGCAACCTTTTTCGGACAGCGGGCCATTTTCAAAATAAAATTTTTTTATGTGGGCCGCATATTCAAATATAACTTAAATAGTGCTTTTATATCATATACGACAGGGATGGCGAACCTTTTTTGATGTCCGTGCCACAAATTCATAAAAATTCCTATTTAAATATGTAACGTGCCACAATAAAATTTCATTCGAAAATGGCAAATGTCCAAACTAACACGACCAGTTCAGAATCGAGAAAATGACAAATTCAACCTAACACGACCAGTTCGAGAATTCAAAATTGAGAAAATAACAAGTCCAACCCAACACGACCAGTTCAGAATTCAAAATTCAAAATCGAGAAAATAACAAGTCCAACCTAACACGATCAGTTCAGAGTTCAGAATCGAGAAAATGGCAAATCCCAACTAACACAACCAGTTCAGAATTTAAAATTCAAAATCGAGAATATAACAAGTCCAAACTAACACGATCAGTTCAGAATCGAGAAAATAACAAATCCCAACTAACACAACCAGTTCAGAATTTAAAAATCAAAATCGAGAATATAACAAGTCCAACCTAACACGATCAGTTCAGAATCGAGAAAATAACAAATCCAACCTAACACGACCAGTTCAGAATTCAAAATTCAAAATCGAGAATATAACAAGTCCAAACTAACACGATCAGTTCAGAATCGAGAAAATAACAAATCCCAACTAACACAACCAGTTCAGAATTTAAAAATCAAAATCGAGAATATAACAAGTCCAACCTAACATGTCCAGTTCAGAATCGAGAAAATAACAAATCCCAACTAACACAACCAGTTCAGAATTTAAAATTCAAAATCGAGAATATAACAAGTCCTACCTAACACGTCCAGTTCAGAATCAAGAAAATGACAAATCCAACCGATCTGCAAGAATTTTAATTGATTCGTACTCTTCTGTTCTTGCAATTCTGAAAATAAATCATTTTCAACAAAGATATTGATGAGCAACCAGCAAAAGATCAAAATACGACTTACGTTGAGGCTTATATTAATTGATTTTATCGATAATTCACAATTTTCACAAATTTATAAATAAAACAAATGAATTTTATTCGAAATCACCATAAAAACAAATCGGATAGAATAAATAGCACAACTGACACAGAACATATGTTCCGCTCTCTCAATGACCAT